TGATGATGATGATGATGATGATGATGATGATGATGAGATCATGATGAGGAGAGGAGGAGGAGGAGGAGGAGGAGGAGGAGGAGGAGGAGGAGGAGGAGGAGGAGGAAGGAGGAGGACCCCCCCTGCTTCCCACTCGTGGCCGCAAGTGCCCTGCTCCGACGCGGCCAGGCGCGTCTGGGAAGCGGCCGGCGGCAGCGGCCACCCTGCGGTGCCCCCCCCCGGGTCTCCGGAGCAGTGGCGGCAGCCGCCGCACCTCTGAGCGCGGCCGGAGGTGCCGACGGCGCTCGTGGGCCGACTTTGTCAGAAGGCCGCGGCGGTACCGGACGCGTTGCGCCAGCAGAGTGCAGCGTGAAACAGGGCCAGGATCGGGATAAATCGCTCCAGAGCGTTCCAAAGCGCTCTCAGAGCGTGCTGGAACGCTCTGGAGCGGCCGCGGCGCCCAATACATCCTCCAAACCCGCCGATTCTCAGAGATTTCGAGTTATCCCGATCCGATGTTGTCCCGATCTTCATGTCGTTTTACGGCAGTTCTCGGCCCTGGGGGGGGGGCAGGTTCCGGACCAGTCGGCCGTACAGGGCGGACCTTCAAGCGTGGCGAGCGGACGGCTGTGAGGCGGCCATCCGCTCTGGAGTCAGGGGGCTCGTGGATCGAGACTTCAAGAGGGTCGCTGCATGCAAACGACACGTTGCGCCAGTGGGCTCCCCAAGATCCTGACCATGCGCGTCTTCGCATCAGAACCGCAGGCTAGGGTCGGTCACTCAGGGCTCCCGATCTTCGAATCGGATGTTGTCTTTGGGAATGGTTGATGATTTTGATTTTATAGTGTCTGTCACCGCTCTCCACGCTTATGTAGTGCTATCAGCGTGCTGTGCGGTTTCATTGTGATTCCGTGCCACTGGGCGCAAGCATCGACGGTGCGTAATCACTTGGTACAGCGTTTGTGTAAGCCTGGTGCATCTGCTGAAGTCTGGCGCGTCGTGATGTCGCGCACGCATCGTACTGTTGTGGACCTCGCGTCCGTGCTTTTATGTTCAGCGACGGTGTAGCGCCATAACATTCGTATCACGCACCTGCCTCTACTATGCCGTTTCGGCTCAGATGATCATACTCGCTACTTCACCCCACTAGACCCCGGCGGCCGCCATCCAAGAGGCGCCTCCTCCGCCCGCTGTTGCCGCCCGACCGACGCCGCCTCCCCAGTCCACAGACGAGGCACCGCAGGTGGCAAAAGATTTCAGTTCCGAAGGGCGAGCGCAGAGCGTGGGAGACTCCGACGGTGTACCTCCGACTCCGACAGAGGAGGAGGGAGGAGGAGGAGGAGGAGGAGGAGGAGGAGGAGGAGGAGGAGGAGGAGGAGGAGGAGGAGGAGGGAGGAGGTAGGAGGAGGAGGAGGAGGAGGAGGAGGAGGAGGAGGAGGAGGAGGAGGAGGAGGAGGAGGAGGAGGAGGAGGAGGAGGA